AAAAATATAAATAAATATTATGAGCAAATACATGTACATGTAACATGCATACATGTATTTGCTCATAATACATGTACTTCAGCTACAGCATAAAAAATTGGGGTTAATTTGGAGCCAATTTTTGAGAAAACCATGGGCTATAGCCTTGGGTATTTTTCAGATTTTTTGGCGTTTTCTTAAAATGGCCGTAACTCGAAAATTTTAAGTCGGAATGAGCTCAAACTTTCTACACAGTATAAGGACATCAATATGTATCAGAAAATGTAATAAAAATTAGGGGTGATTTTGGAGCCATTTTTTCGAAAAACCATGGGCTACATATAGCCTTGGGTATTTTTCAGATTTTTGGCGTTTTCTTAAAATGGCCGTAACTCGAAAATTTTAAGTCGGAATCAGCTCAAACTTTCTACACAGCATAAGGATGTCAATATGTATCAGAAAATGTAATAAAAATTGGGGGTGATTTCGGAGCCATTTTTTTCGAAAAACCATGGGCTATAGCCTTGGATATTTTTCAGATTTTTGGCGTTTTCTTAAAATGGCCGTAACTTGAAAATTTTAAGTCAGAATCAGCTCAAACTTTCTACATAGCATAAGTACATCAATATGTATCAGAAAATGTAATAAAAATTGGGGGTAATTTCGGAGCCATTTTTTGAAAAAAACCATGGGCTATAGCCTTGGGTATTTTTCAGATTTTTGGCATTTTCTTAAAATGGCCGTAACTGAAAAAATTGAAGTCGGAATCAGCTCAAACTTTCTACGTAGCATAATTACATCAATATGTATCAAAAAATGCAATAAAAATTGGAAGTGATTTCGGAGCCATTTTTTGGAAAAAACCATGGGCTATAGCCTTGGGTATTTTCCAGATTTTTGGCATTTTCTTAAAATTGCTGTAGCTTGAAAAATTGAAGTCGGAATCAGCTCAAACTTTCTATGTAGCATAATTACATCAATATGTATCAGAAAATGCAATAAAAATTGGGGTTGATTTTGGAGCCATTTTTTGGAAAAATCATGGGCTATAGCCTTGGGTATTTTTCAGATTTTGGCGTTTTCTTAAAATGGCCGTAACTCAAAAAATTGAAGTCGGAATCAACTCAAACTTTCTACACAGCATAATTACATCAATATGTATCAAAAAATGCAATAAAAATTGGGGGTGATTTCGGATCCATTTTTTGGAAAAAACCATGGGGTATAATTTCGGAGCCATTTTTTGGAAAAAACCATGAGGTATAGTCTTGGGTATTTTTCAGATTTATGTACTGTACATGTACACGTATAAGTACAACATCAGTACAGTATGTATCAACAAAGGGTGTCTCCTATCTTACCCCATATACAAGACTGATCTGTGCCAGTTCTTTAAGTACTTCAATAATCCGTTTATAAACGAGAGTCTCTCCACACACACTCCCAGTATTGTCACCTCCATGAAAAACATCAACACTGATGATATTCTAATTAAAGAGCAAGAGATAAACATCACACACAAAATTACCCTGGAATGTACATAGTGCTGATGTGTAATGCCCTAACACAATTAAACAGGGTTTCCCACAAAATATGCTAAGTGAACTAAAATTAAGAGCGTTATGTTTGAAGCAACTTTTAAAATTTTTATAATTTTTATAACGTAAAATTTTAATTTTTATTAAATTTTT